GTTTCTGCTGCTTTGCTTTGTTGGGAGCGAGGCTCTCTCTGCACCTGCTCCTCCCTGTGCCCTGAGCTCACTGGGCCCCTTTCAGTGCATTCGCACCGTCCTTGGGCTCTGGTGGGGATGAGCAGAAGGCAGCACCAGAGCAGGGCCACCCCTCAGCACCAGCCTGCGGGCCCAGGGCTCGCCATGCAGGGGGAGGAGAGCCAGAAGGTGTTTTCACCTCTGCTAGGTACAGTAGCACGGTGCCGACATGTAACGCAATGCTTACTGCAGTCCTGACTCACACCCCTTAGGAACAAGTCAGTGCCTCTGCTCTCAAGCCAAAAGAGCTCTTAAAAAAGAAAATCCTCCAAATCCCCCTAAAAAGTCACAGAAGAAGCCACCCAGCACCCCTGGGATGAGAACTTTGAAGTTCAGAGCTGCCAACTCATCACTGAGAGACCAACAAGCAGGGCCCTCCGGCATCCCAGAGACCACAGCACATTTAACCATGACGTCTGCCTGTTTCTGTCTCAGTCTCCTGAGCTCTCAGAGGTGCTTTCAGGCCTTTCTCAGAAGACCCAGAAACCAAGAATGCTTTCCAGGGGGAATTTCAGTTTTCATTAATGGAAACCTGTGTCTCTGGGAACCAAAGGCAGAAGAAGAAACACCAACCACTACATGACTTGGAACAAGAGAGCTGTAAGCACCATCAGCAATAGCCTTTCTGAGGAGCAGACCGCCCAACACACAAACTATTACAGAGATATTATCTGACTGCTTCTAAAGCTCCCCTACCAGGAGAGGAGCTGCTGTGCTGCCAGGAGACCCAGCCTGGTGAGCACACTCAGCCCCACAAAGACACGCACCCAGCAGCCACCTCACCCATCTCCTGCTACATGCACCTGTCTCTCCTTTCTCCGGGGGGATCAGCACAGACAGACCGCACAGCTTAGCAGCAGAAACACGCACGGTGCCCAACGCAAACTCACCGGACTCGGTAGAACACGGTCATGGAGCACATTGCAGCCATCAGGAGAGAAATGCTGGTCGCAGCGGGCAGAAGCAAGGTGCCTCCTGCAGTGAATGCTGGGAAGGACCAGCTGGTCACTATGAGCCCACCCCCAAGGACAGCCGCTGCACACCTGGGGGCATTAGGGGTGGGCTAATCCAGGCTGTAATTAATGAGGCCCTTCCCCCACCCCTCGTCAGGCACAGGAGAGAAACAGCAGCTTCCACCTGGGGCAGGAGGGGGACTGCATCAGTCCCCAGTACTGTTACCAGGGGCCCCCGCTGAGCTCAGTACATGGCACAGAAGCACCCCAACCATGTGGACACGTGGGGCAGTGCCAGCTCTATGATGTGCGTGTGCCTGTGTCCTGAAGCTTGGTTGCATAGGCTGATCGCTCACATGCAGCCAGGATGGAGTCGTTTACTTCAGCCTTCTGTAACAAACCCTGACCCTGCCAGCACCTGGAGCCTCCCCCTGCAGGATGGGTGGCCGTTGGCTCTGTGGGGCTCACTGCTCACTCCATTCCATTCTCAGTTGTTTGTTGGTTTGGTTTGGTTTTTTGGCATGCAGCAGGAGTTGGTAAGAGCCTTTTCCTCTCTGCCCCAGCATAATGATGGGACCCATTTCATGAAGAGTAACAGCTTTGAGTTACAGAGGGGACGAAGCAGAGTAAATTAGGCATATTAAGAATAGCAAATAGTTTCATACGAGTGAAATCAGAAGCTGGCTGGGACTAGGCAGGAGTGTTAGGAAGGTGCAGCTGTGAGGGCAGGTAACGACTCACACCTGCTGCTAGCTTTGGTCATCACCCAGGACTACCACAACCACCACAGGCATGGATCTCGCACACAGCAGAGGCAGCATGCTGTACATCAGCTGGCTGATGCTGGGGAAGGTGCTGCTGTCTGCATCCTCCTGCCTCCCCAGCCCTCTGCTCTCATCACTGTGCACCTTGGTTGTGTTGAGTTTGCTCAGAGCACGGCAGCAGCCTCAGCAGTTGCTTATGTAATGAAATCCTTCCTGAAACATTAACTGTTTCTGGTCCAGAGTTGCTCTGCTTCACACAAGAGGCAGTGCTGCCAGGTATCGGCCATTTGGAGCTCTGTTGCTGCTCTTTTCCTGGCTGTGCAGTGTCCACTTAGTACAAAGCTGCTCGTCTATCTGTCCTTGGCCTCTGTTGAGAGTGAGCTGTGCGCAGGCAGCTTGCTGCCAGCCTGGAGCTGTGGAGTTTGCAGAGCAAGCTCAGCTCGTTGCATGCAAATGGCCAGATAAGTTGCTGCCTGCAAGCAGGAACCACTTTATGGAAAGCAGCAGAGCCCTTCTCAAAGCACCCCGAGCCCCTGCAGCACACTTGCAGGGCTGGGTCCGCACGGGGCTGCCGCTGGCTGTCATGCTGCCAAAACCAAGCCTAGCTCTCACCGCTGGGAAAATCCAGCTTGTCCCTATTCATGTTGCATACCAAAGGGTTCCCATTTCCTCTCTGCTGCCTTTTGGCATTGACGATTTTTTGGTGCTCCTGTGTGGAGCCAGGAGTTGGACTCGATAATCCTTATGGGACCCTTCCATCTCAGGATGTTCTGTGAAGATCTCACCTACAGCAACTGCCCTCCGTTTGCCAAGTCCAAAGCCCAGAGTGACCTGAACCTCAACCCTCCTGCACGTTGCCACTCATGCCACCATGAGGACTTGGAGGATGTTTCTGCTCAGATGTCTCTCTAAAGCAAGGAACTCAGCACCCAATGGCCAGGAGGAGACAGATCCCTGCCCTGCTGGAGCTGCCCACGTCCAGTGCTGAGATTCCTCATCCCAGGCAGCGGCAGGTCAGCTGGGCAGGTGACATCAAGGAAACAGAGATCAGCCAATTTTGCTGGCCGACTCCCTGCGGTGAAAGCTGAGCTGAGACTGAGCAAACAAAGGCCCTGGATTCAGCATTTATTAGATGAAACAGGCCAGATCCTCCTGCACAGCCCTCTCTGGAGCAGCCCTGCCCAGCCCTGCAGCTGCAGCGTGTTTGCAGGTCACCTCCCCACTAATGCTCCCCAGCCCTCCTGGAGGACAGCGTGGAGTTACAATCCTGTTTGGATTTGTGTGCTGCCAGAGCCGCATCCCGCCCTGCCTGCCGGCCCTGCAGCGGGCGCACTGCCTGCCAGCCTCCAGCACCGCTCTTGTTGCTCTCGGCCCGTTTCACCTCACTCTGTTTTGCTCCTTCCACTCTCAGGACGTGTGTTATCTCTGGTCTAGATGGAGAATCAAAAGGGGATGCTGTCTTAGTCCTGTTCATCCCAAAAGCAGGATGCTGTGGCTCTCAGTACCAGCTTGCCTTTCTACAGCCTCTGTGTCCATGCAGAGAAGCTGTGATCCTCCTTTCCAGTCCTTGGAAAGCTACCTAATTTGGTGGCTAAACATCCTCAGGGTGAGATGCTGCCTGGTGCCCTCTCAGACCCAGCTGGTGCATAACAAACCCATGCTCTCTTCTCTTCCCAGCTCAGTGTTGGATGTTCTCTGAGATACCCCGGTTCTAGCAGCCCTCTGCCTCCAGGTGCCATGCGGTGCTTGGGAGTAGCTTGTTCTTGAGTGTAAGTGCCCAAATCCTCTGTGTTGCTGGTAGTAGATACTTGAATAGGGATTTCCCCTGCTCTGAGAACCCAATTCTTTTGAAACGCCATGATGTTCCCTGCTGTTCCAGCTGGGTGCCTGCAGTGGGAAGCTGAGTGCTCACAGCTGCAGCAAAAATCTTCCTGTTGGAGCATGAACTTCTGCAGCACCGGCACTTTGGGCCCACAGTTTCAGGAGCTGCTCAAGTAGCTGCCAGCAGGGAACAAGCCACAGAGGAGACTGCGTTATGCTCATTAAGTTACTATACTGCAAACCCGTGCCAAAAATCTGCTGGCAGCGCTACCAGCCACTGCTGAGACCTGCCAGTGCTTTCCAGAGCCTGGGATGCTGACAGACCACTGCGTGGCAGCGTCGGGCCTGGGGCACTGCAGGCACTGCAGGCACTGCAGGCACAGTCTCAGCCCTTCGAGGGGGCCCATGAGAACTCTGCCCCCACCTCGGCCTCTCCCACACCAGGCTCCAGCTGGAGGCCACATAGGTAGACTTACATGACTTACAAGGTATTAATGCTTCGTGGCTCATCCCCTTGCTTGCAGCTTCTAAACTGGCTTTGGAGAAGTCCTAAAGGAGTAAGGGAGATAAAAACAGAACTTTTATTTTCCACTCTGGCCTTTGAAATAGCAGGAGTGCCCAGATCGTGCCCTTCCTGGGGCCCACAGCAGAGGTGGCCGGGGATAAATGGCTCACACAGGCAAACCCACACCTCTGTGGAGCGTGTCTTTCTCCAAAACATTAGTCAGTTATTAAAGCAGCAGGAAAAGAGCCTCCCTTGTCCCTACCTCTGCTTCAATTTTACTCTCTGTTTGACATAACCAGGTCACTCTTTCCACACTTCCCCAGCCTCACTGGGAACCGATTACTGATCGAGATGGACGTGACTCACTGCCTTTTTTAATGAGCAATTTTCCTATGTTTATGTGCTTTGGCAGAGACTTTCTTATACCTAAAAAAGGAGAAGGGTGGCATTGGGGAGAAGGCAGGGTACATTGCTGGCATCTATATCCAGTCTGCGTGAGATGTTTCTCACCCTCTCCTTGGATTCCAGCCAGTTGGGAAGTTACTGCTTTTGAACACGAAAAAAGGCGTCACTAATCTTCCACAAGCTAATCTGGATGAAACACTGCCCAGGCCCACAGGTAGGCTGCCTAAGCCCTTGACAACTAATTGGAGCTAATTAGGTTAGAAGATTTTTGTGTTAATATCTGTTTAGGCTGTGCCTGGGGGCCCCACGGTAATAAGCATCGTACAAACCCAGGGCAGCCTTACCCACGGAGGTTTGCCAGTAGGAGATTGTCCAGGCCACAGCAGGGTGAGTTGGGTTTTCCTTCTCTCTTGCACAGACTCAGGCTCATCGGACAGGTGCCCCACTCACGTGGTGTTTGCTTGTGTTTTGCAGTGACTAAGCGGAGGAAGCACTTGCTATCCTTGCACTACCGGGCCAGACAATCCTTCCCTCGGCTGCAGATCCCACTGGATCCCTTCCCATAATGGAGGTGTGAGTGCCAAGATCCTCCATGACCTCCAGAAGCCACAACTCCTTGCCGAGAACTCTGATGGCTCCACGAATGCTTTCCGAAGGTGCTCTGGGGGGCATTGCCCAAATCACCCCCTCGCTGTACCTGAGCCGGGGCAGCGTCGCCTCCAACCGGCACCTGCTCCTGTCCCGAGGGATCACCTGCATAATCAACGCAACCATCGAGATCCCCAACTTCAATTGGCCCCAGTTTGAATATGTCAAAGTGCCTTTGGCTGACATGCCCAACGCCCCCATCTCCTTGTACTTCGACAGCGTTGCCGACAAGATCAACAGCGTGGCACGGAAGCACGGGGCCACCTTAGTCCACTGCGCGGCCGGCGTGAGCAGGTCAGCCACCCTGTGCATCGCCTACCTGATGAAGTACCATAAGGTGTCCCTCTTCGAGGCATACAACTGGGTCAAATCAAGGCGCCCTGTTATACGCCCCAACGTGGGCTTCTGGAGGCAACTGATAGACTACGAGAGGAAGCTGTTTGGGAAGACAACGGTTAAAATGGTACAGACACCATATGGCATCATCCCAGACGTTTATGAGAGAGAGAGGAGACCCCTGATGCCTTACTGGGGAATTTAATGTGACTGCAGACGGGAAGCACAGCGGAAGGGACATGCTGTTCCAAGTCGACCAGACTGGAGATGTTCCCTTCTCTTTCTACAGCCAACTTTGGTTCTTTACCATACAGCAGAACCTCAACTAATTTTCACCTCACTAACCCGCAAGGCCAACAGTTCCCTTCGAAGCATTTCTCTCTACAGGGATTCCCCCATCCCATTTTTCTCTGATTTAGCAGAATGAGATCTTCTTATAAGTTTCTTCCTTTCATAAAGCCTCCCTCTCTTTTTAGTCAGTTTATTAGTATCCTATGAGGAAAGGCCTACGAGGCATTCGGCAGAATTAATGAACAAAGTGCGCTTTGTGATGCGGTAGCCTGGATATTTCTTTAATAGCTTGTTTGCTTCCTTGCAGAATCCTGTAGTGGTTTGGGAGCAGCACTGGCACCACAGGGAAGTCCAGCTCTAACAGCATGGCTTCCAGGAGCAGGGAGGAGGTAGTGCAGGGTTGCGTTGCTAGTGCTGGTGTTTTCTTTAACATCTGTAGTGACTCTCAGTATATAGTGTTTGAGATCTTTAGTCAGCTCTTAATCTGTATTAAAAGTCAAAAAGAATGAAGTCAGTCCGTGTCAGGCACAAGTGAAATAAAATTTGAATGATTGGAATCAAGTAAATACCAAGCCCTTCTTCACTCATTCCATGCCAGGGCAATAGTCCTGGAATACACTGACACTTCTGAAAAGTACTGCTGGTGTTCCGTGGGTGGAAAGGAAACACAATTTGTGAACGTGTGGCTCAAAGCAGCAGCAGGAGGTTAACCCTTCCCTTCCCACCACACAGCCAAGGGGATGTTTAGGAAACGCTGTGTGCGTGGCCACCTTCCTAAAGGGCTGAGTTGCATTTCCTAACATTCAGACAAGCAGTGGACTGGAAGTAGGTACACCCACTGGAGTACTTTGCTCTAGATACGGTCGTGATCTGCCTTAGCCCATTTCTCAAACACTTCATTATGTCCTCAAGGTTATGTTGCATTCTAGAATTGTTCTGCACAAAAAGGCGATCTGTTTCACCTCCGGATGGGGATGGCGGTACGGAAAAGGCTTTGCCTCGCTCTGTTCGTGATGAGAGAGATTCCAACTGGAGACGTGGGAGAAACCTGTCTGTGGCACAGCTGCTGCCTCCTGGGCACCGCTGCCCTCCCCGCAGATGGAGCAAGACCTTCCTGTCCTCTGCTGCATCCCTGCCGGATGAGTACGCAGATTGCTGGATGCTGAGATAGCTATCTGATTTAAATGAGATTCTATACTTGTAAAAAAAAAAAAGTCAATAAAGAGTAAACTAGAACATGTGTTGGCTTCCTGTTCAGAACTGTGCTAATGTATCTGAAGTAGCAGTGGGAACATGGTGTAATACTGAGCAGCACTTTACACAAGTCTGGAGAAATAATTCTGTGTTCCAAGCAGTTTCGAGGTGTCCCCCATTCCTGACAGTCATTGCAACATCCAGGCGGTTCAGTTAGTGATGCAAATTCCTCAATGTTTTAAGGGCATCCAAAGTCCAAAAAGAGTTTTCTGCGTGCACCTACAGCCCATTCCACCTGCAAACCTCTCTTGGGGTGCAGTGGCCAAAACTGCAGCTGGAAAACCCCCAGCACTGAGCACCAGGTTTTCCAACTCCCAGCACCTGGATCTCAGGGCACTTCCGTATCAAGCACAACAGAGCAGCCCTGCAGCGCCAGAGGGAATTCTTTTCAGATGAGCAAGAATCGAGTTTCAGCCCGCAGAGATAAAAGGGAGATTTGCCACACGCTGTGCTCAGCTCAGGTTTCAGCGGTCGTGTCTCTTGGCACTGTTTGCAGTGACAAACAAGCAGGCGTATCACACTGACTGTCCATTTGAAAACATACTTTTTTTTTTTTTTTTTCCTTTGGAGTTTAATATCACCGGGGAAGTGGTAAGAAAGGAAATACAGATTAAAAATAGGACTAAGAATTAGTTGGGAGAAATCCTGAAAGCATGTCACTTAGAGGGAAAAAATACTTGAAAAAAAAGAAAAAAAAGTCTTTCAAAATTGAACTTTTCCTAAAAAATTGAGTAGGCCTATTTTAACAGTATTTTCTGCACAAAAACTGGAAGGGAAACCTTCTCCACTTGGAATAGTTAGATGTATATTTTGCACACACACTGCTTCAGTGTTGGGGGAGGAGAACCAATTGTTCAACAACCAAAGCACAGAGTGACTTGGAAGCAATAAGAAATGCAATCCCCTCACAAAAGCATATCATGAAATAGAGAACTCATCCAGAATGCCCAGCAGAGATTTGAGAGAAGCGCAGTGGTACCAACAGCTTAGAGGCACCTCTCCACAGAAGTTTCTCCTTCCAATAGAAGATATTTACCTGTGCCTCATTTTCCCCCAAATGGTTTTTGTGCACCTTGAAGTCAACAGAAGCAGAAGAGGTGACTCCAAGCGCCTGGAAGCAGGGCAGCACGACGTGAGGAAGCACCATTCCTCCTGATTCCCATCGTCCAGAAGACCGTCTTTGTTTGCAGAACACTGTAGGTGCCACTCAGTGAGACACCTTCCAGTCGTTGGCCACAGGGATTCTGCATCCGCGAGCACTCAGCACGTGGCCCCAGCTGTGCCCTGCAGGCATCCCTGCAGGGATTTCTGCAGCGACTCTGGCACAGCACAGACTGAAACAGCTCCAACTGCAAATGGTGAAATCACTTCTAGAAGACAAACAATGCTCACCCAAAGGGGACAAGAAGGAATCACAATATAAATAGATTTCTTCTGACCTCTTTTCTTCATAGTATTGAGAACTGGAATTAAATACAGGCCCAGAAATCAAAAAGACATCTTCCAGAAGAAGCAGCTTGTACAATAGCAGCTTTTATTGAAAAGGCCGCCTTTGTTTCAAGTCCAATCAATCTGACACAAAGCTGAGAAGGGAACTGCATTCCACGGGGTGTCAGCTTCCTCCCAACCCTTGGCTTCCCCTCATGGCACCATGTGCTGCTCAAGGAGAAGCTGCTCAAAGCACGCCAGGCGAGGAGAAGCTGCTGCCAGAGATGGAGAACCATCAACACCAAGAGCTGAGCATTCCCATCCCACACAGCACGGCAGGGAAATGGGGCAATAAGGAAACAGGGCAGTAAGGAAACAAACAGGCTAGAGCCACCGGTTTGCTCTCCAGCACTTCATCCACCGAGACAAAGCACGCTGAGAGAGCACAGAAGCATCAGGAGTACAATGGGGCAAACCATGCATAAATTAAAGTAACCGAGGGAACAACCTCTTCAAACTCCAAATATACACACAAAGGAAGATCACTTTCCCAGCTCCAGCGATTACAGACATTAGAAAACACAAAACCACATTTCTCAGTTTTTTTCCTAATCAGTGTCCAGAAAAACGAGTTGCATTTACAAAATTCAGCACAGCCAAAGCAGAAGGCAGCACGTCCATCAGCCCGTAAGCAAAGGAAGCAGGGAACGCGGTCTGTTACAATGCACCATAGAAAATACCATCACCTTGGATACAGATTGGCTAGCAGCGCCACATCCGAGGGAGCTGAATGCAACAGTGAGTCATTGTAACGAGCAGGATGTGCAAGGGAAACGATCCTCCTGTGCAATGCCTGTACCGAGGGTATCTGCACGAACAGCATTTGGTGTTTGGTGTGCTCCCGTGACGTCAAAGCCTTCAGAAAAACCATTTCTGCTGCTCACAAACACAGCAATGCTGCCGGCTGCTTCCCCTTCTGCAGGCAGCAGTGACGGCAGTGCCGCACCTCTCCATGCTCCTCTGCAACTGTTAACACAGATTCCTTATTTTTATGGCCAGAAGACACACTAGATCCATCTCAGAGAGGAAACTTCCCTGCTTAACGAGTACATTACGAGAGAAACATCACTGAAACGCATTTTTATGACAGCATAGCTCATATGGTATTTGAAATATTGATTGCTTTAAGTTTCACATTGTGGCCTGTTTCCTTCATGGCGTTCTCTAATTAAAGACAAACAAACCTATCCAGTTAAGTGCTCAGGAACCGCGATGGAAACCCATGCTAACAATAAACTCCCTTTTCCCAATATAGCACTTCCACAAGCACAGCCTTTGCGTCAGCCAGACACTCCAAACCACTCGAGAGGTCCCCTCGCTCGCAGCAAGGCGTGCAGCAGTGCCCAAGTGCTCCAGGCATTCAGCTGCACGCTGCGTGCCGCCCTGCACAGACCCCAAACATCAGTGGGAACACTTACCCTGGTGATGCATGCAGCCCCTCATTAGCAGGGAAAACAATCTCAGAAGCTATGGTGCTGTCACTGTTTCATGCCTAATAAATGAAACAGCAAATAGTGACTGCCTTTTTTTTTTTTTAACATATAATTACTGGGCAGCAGAAGGCAAGCAGTCACTGTCACATGATGAAAAATCCACCATTTGATGAGCTTGAGCTTGCAATTGGAGGCACGAGTTGTTGTTCCTTGAATGAGCTAATCTCAGGAAGCAGGAAGGTTGATTTTAATTTGTCTGAATAAGGGACCAGACATCTAACACTCCTGTTAGCCAAGATTCTTTCATTTGGCATAATTAATAGTTCAGTATAGTTAAGGATTAGTAAATAAATCAATCAATCACAGAACCACAGAATGGTTAGGGTTGAAGGGACCTCAGGGCCAACCTGCTCCAACCCCAGCACTGCAGATATCACTACTGAAACTCATGAGGCACGACTTCCCCTTGTGAAGCCACACTGCCTACTCCTGTTATTTCCTTCTCCCTTGTGTACCTGGAAATGGTTTCCAGGACGAGCTGTTCCATCACCCTGCAGGGACTGAGGCGAGGCTGAGTGACCTATGAGGTTCCCTGGGTCCTTCTTTTTAAAGACAAGAGGACGTGTGCTTGCCTCCAAATGGGAACTTCTCCCATTTGCCACAATTGAGCAGAGATGACAGAAAGGGGCCCCACAATCACATAGGTCAGCTCCCTCAGTACTGCATCCCATTGGGGCCCATGGACTTGTGAATGTCCACTTTCCTGAACTGTTCTTTTCCTCTTTATAATTTCAATTTCATCAAATAATTATGGGTCAATGTCAGTTATTCATAATGGAGGCAAGGCAAAGCTGGAAAAGCTGTTGACATCCTTGGAGAAAAGGACTTTCAACTTTGACAAGTCAAAGAATTAAGCAGCAAGATGTACCTGATGGATACACACCACAGTGCATTCCCTGCAAACTGAACAAAACTGTGCAGAGGTAAGGCTCTTAAAATAATGCCATGAAGCTCTCAATGGGTTTAAAATTCCAAAAGTAGCTGCTGATGGCACTGTTATCTGGGTGTTGCACTGGAAGAAAGAGTCAGGTATTTTAGATGTCTGCGTAACACTTTGCAGTAGTCTATGACTTCTTCCTGTTTAGGCAGGCACCCCTCCTGAAAGCAACAGAACAGCAGATTGGCAACAGACTGCTTCAGCAGACAGCCTGCTTGAGGAGACAGCTTCCAGGGTGAGATCACACCTGTCCCCAGCAGGAGCTGAGGCCCACCTGTGCTGCCAATTCTGGGAGTCAGGAAAACACATTATTACAGCCAGCAGTAGGTTGCACACGTTACATGCAGGCATCCCATCAAGTAACACATGTTAAAATACAAAAAGGTAATATACACAGGAGCAGCCATGGCAACAGTGGAGTCCAATTTTCAACAGTGATGCAGCCACACAACCACCAAAGCATTGGGCAAAACAAACCCCACCCGTAGTTTAGGACAAGTCCAAGAAGGGATGTTACCTAGGATTTGCAGAGAACAGCACAGACTGCAAGTTCCCAAACCCAGCTGTCTGCACTAAAGAACCTGGATACGAAGGGGAAGTTTGTAACAATTTTCCAAGTTCTTATCCTCCAGTACTAACTACTTAGGAGTTTGAATATAGTATAATTTACAGTTCAGAACGGTGACAGCATGAATATAGAACGCCTCTCTGCCATCTAATTCCTCCCATATCAGTAATTCACTTTGCCTTGAAAGTAACCACGACTTGAGCACTGTGTGCATGTAATAGTAGAGCAGCAAATATTTAAAGAAAAACATCATGGTCCAGACACCAAAAACATTAAGAAAAGATTTGTTTGACAGTACGTACTTTGAGTACTTAAGTAGTCATTTCTATGCAAATCAATCTAACACTTCAGTTCACCTTGGAAGCTATGTCCTCTCTGAGGTCTGCATTTGGTTAGCAGACTGCTTGTTTGTTTGACAGAGGCCATCCCACCCTCATCTTGATAAAGATTGAACTGCCACATTTTAGCCACTCGACAATTTTTCCCAGATGTTTCT